TAGATAAAACTTATAGATTTAATTGAATTATTCTGATAACCACTCAAAATATAATTATCAAAAGGGAATTAATTAATTTTGTTAAGAATTCTGTAAGTTCTCGTGATTTGTGCAATGATTTTGTTAATAAAATTATATTTACGTAAGAAAATACTAATTAAAATCATTAGATTAGATATTCCGTGCAATTCAACTCAATTTTTCTTGAAATATACAATAAATATGAGAAATTTTGTTTAATTTATAAAAAATGCTTAAAAGTTATGACTTATTTATTAACAATTATTAAAACCTATTCAATGCTCACATGTTTAATTTATAAAAACAAAATAATATTTAAATTCATAATAAACTTATGATATAATCGATAGAAATAATAAATTATATAATTAATTGGTTTAAAACTAACTTTATTTTGAAGCAAAAATTCTTTGGTTTTTATAGAAATTAAAGCGTTTTGTCATTAAATTGTAAAATAAGCTCAATATATATGAATTATAATTGAAATAAAAGTAAAATTGAGTAAATCCTTAGAGGTGCTGTAGGGTTCAATTAGTACACCATAAAATCAATTGTTTTTATGAAACACTATTTTTGTAATAAGTTTTTTGTATGAAATATTTATTTTAAATCATTTTTCAATTCAAAGCCAACCATCAAATTAAGTTTTATGTAAACCATTATATTTTCATTTGATTTCTTATTATTAAATTTGATTTTGTGTCATATTTGCAGTTTATTTCTTAATTCCTTTTTGAAAACATTTAATTGTTTGCAATTTATTAACAAAATTTATTTATCATTTCATTTACTTATATCTTGTACGTGACCTCCTATCAATTTACCATTACTTCACTCATCTATGATCTTGATCAATTTTGCTACTTTTAAAGATTTTAAACTTCTTTCTGAGAGAATTTAATGGATTTAAATGAATGCTAAATATTACTTCAGTTTTCAATATCTAGTGTATTCATGAATGTATGCTACTTTTTACACCTATCCTATACATTTCTATCTCTAATCAATCGGTGTAAAGGTTGGGCACTCGGGTGTAGGGGTTATCTGTTGTGTTTGTAACACTCTTTTGGTTATTGGCTGCTCTTCTATATCTCTTTCGGTATTTTCTGGTTTTAGCGATCGTTTGTCCACTTCTTCGGTCGACAGCAATCACACGATTATTGCGACCGCGAAAGGAGTCTTCACTAGTGATGGAGGGATATTGACTTCAGAGGAGACGGGTGTCAGTGTTATTATACCTATGGGTGCTATTCCTAAGGATAGTGAACAGGAAATATACTTCAAAGTATGTCAGGACATGAAAATGGCGCCGCCGTTGGACTCGGAAAAGGGCGAGACTTTGATGAGTCCTATAGTGATGTGTGGACCACACGGACTGCGCTTTGAAGTGCCCGTTGAGGTAAACCCTCTGCCAATGGATTGTACTTAAAATAATTGTTTGGTTTTCAATATGACAGTTACGACTCCCGCACTGCGCTTCTGTAAACCCCGAGGGCTGGGCTTTTGCTCTCAAGTCTAGTGACACAAACAATGGTCAGAACCATCAAATTGCCTGTCATTACATGTCTTGATGCTAATCTTAATTGTCATAATTATAGGTCAACCGTCCGAATGGCAGAACTTAGCCCTGGGTGCTGATGATGGCATCTCTGCCTCTAAATTAGACAAACGATTTGTCTCAGTATTAGTCGACCACTTCTGAAGCAATTCTTTGTTGTTATAATCGTTGGAAATGTTATTTTTAAATCAAAAATGAGTTTTAAAACTGTTTTGATAATAAATATTCAAAAGTTTCATGACTGAAAATGCAATAACCAATCATAATATATGATATAAATTGTTTGAATTCACATAATTTATATAAATTGCAAAAAAGTCTCATCTTTTATTTAAAATAATTTTAACCATCACTTGGAATATATTTTTAATCAAAAAATCTGTTATAGTTATCAAACGAATTAGTCCTATAATATAGATGAGACCAAAGATGATTATAATTTAAATTATTGTTTTTAAATATACACTATAAGAGCTCATATAAATACCGTAATATATAAAACAAAATTCTATGCAATTTATTTAAGATTCCAAACTTGTATTAAAAGTATAAAACTGAGATCTCTTATGATTATTGTAATTTTTATTCAAAATAAAATAAAATGAATTACAACACCTAGTATCTAATTTATAATTAAGAAATGTAATTAGTCTATTTACAAAATTAACTTATATTATGGGTTTATTGATGTAGAAGCTGTTGGAATATACACCATAAAATGTACAGTACCCAAGTACATTATCCCAAGTCTAGAATTGTAAGGATCATATTAAGTTGGAATATTTGGATGATTAAACAAGGTAGGTATTTAATAGGAATCAAATATAGCTGTGCACTGAAAACAAATGACCATATATTCAATCACTTTAACCGCTCATACGATTAATTAAATAAATAAATCAAAGTTTAACACAAAGTTTGACCCAAACTTGAAATGAAGGCAAAAGTGGTCGACAGATACCACACGTGTCGACACCACT